ATTAAATATTTATTACATATAATCACATATTTATTACATATTTATAAATATTCATTTTTCTTATTTTGATATTAATTTCTATTTTTCCTCCTTCTTTATCCTCTCCAGGATAATTTCTCTCTCTCTCTCTGATGATTTTATTTTTCACTCTTCCATTTGAGCTTTTAATTAAAAATTAATTAAAATAAACGCCCTCAGAAATTCCCAGAAAATTTGAGGATAAAACAAAATAAATCTGATTTTGGGGGAAATTTAAAAAGTTTTAAATTTATAAAAAATATCGCGATAAAAAAATTGAATTTTTGAGGAAAATTCAGAGTTCATAAAGGGGGAAAAAACTCAGAATAAATTCCAGGAGCGGAATTCCTGGGAAGGAGGAGTTCTCCCTTAAAACCGAATGAAGGTTGGAAAGGGATCCTTGGGAATCCGCGGGGGTTTGGAGATTTCTCCTGGAATTTTCTGGGAATTCTGGAGCAGCGAAAGGGCTCAGGGAGAGCCCCCGGATCCCTCGGGAATTTCAGGGGGATGGGAAAGGTGGAAGATGGAAACCCAAAACTCTGAGTCTGGAACCTGAAGAACCCGAGTCTAGAGCCGAGTCTAGAGCCCGATCTAGAACCCGATCCTAGAACCCGATCTAGAACCGAGTCTAGAACCCGATCTAGAACCAAGTCTAGAACCCGATCTAGAACCGAGTCTAGAACCCGATCTAGAACCGAGTCTAGAACCGAGTCTAGAACCCGATCTAGAACCGAGTCTAGAACCCGATCTAGAACTTAGTCTGGAGCCAGGGTCTAGAGCCCCAGCAAGTTTGAGGTTGGAACCCAAGAAAACAGGGATGAGAACCCAAAAAAACTGAGCCTGGAACTCCAAAAAATTTGGGATGAGAACCCCAGAAGGTGGAATGAGAATTCCAAAAGCTGTGATGGGAACCCCCAAAATCCAGGATGGGAAGGAGGGAAGGAAGGAGGGAAGGAGGGAAGGAGGGAAGGAGGGAAGGAGGGAAGGAGGGAAGGAAGGAAGGAAGGAAGGAAGGAAGGAAGGAAGGCAGGAAGGACGGAAGCAGGAC